AATCCATTCATAAAGGAAACACTATATAATTAATTACACAGTTGAAAACAGATCTGATTAACGTAAGATTGTTACAAAGATACACAAAAAAAGAAAAAAAAAAATTATGTACATACACACGTTAGTAAATATAAAATTACGAATATTTTTTTTATTGTGTTTGATTCACATAAGGTTTAATTTAAATTGCCGGTCTATAATACCCTAGGATAATATTATATACTCACGTGGATATTTCGTCGCAGTATTGACATTTGTATGTGACCCCTTTATGCCAGCGCTGGTGATGCTTTGCTTGAGTCCTGAAATATAATTTAAAAACATTAATAAGGAAAAGACTTCATACCTTTAACAATTCAAGACTCAATCCAACTTAGGTTGCTATAACACAAAAAATTTAACTTCCTTTTACATTAAATTATTAGTAGTATTTAGTAAGTTTAAACCTTGTTTCTATTAAAGGTACACTATGCGTCTCCAGCACACCAGTGGAAATAAGCTAAATTAAGAAAAATGGCCAAGCGACCGCTGCCCATAGACATCCGCAATTATAGATGCGATGACCCTTCATTGGAAGAGATGCACATAAAGAGGATATTTCCCCTTCCTATGCGTTTCCTCCACCATCAAATCAAATTTCCCTTAACAGCGTTACCGCTTAAGAAAAGGGTGGAAGGGAAAGGGAATGAAATTAGGCGTCCGGCAAACAGACTGTACGCGGAATTGCTTCCACTTCACTCCTGTCATCTACAGTCGTGGTATGTGGGGCGAGCTTACCAAAGATATTAAAGCGGGCTCTACCACTGTTAATGCCAATTTTAGGCCATTTCCTTAAACGGAAAGGATGGGAAGGGAAGAAATTGATGGTGGAGGAGACACAACGGAAGGGAAAATATTTTTATGTGCTCTTTCTATTAATTAAGGATAAGTAACGCGTCGGCAATTGATGTATATGGGCAGTGATCACTTCGCTTTTTCGGCGAATGCAGGTTAGCCGCTTGCTCGCTTGTCTTCCACCTAATAGTAAAAAAAAAATAGAAAAAAAGAGATAATTACGTGTTCCTAGAGACGTATGTGCAGGCTTTGCAGGCGTATTTCTTCTCGTGGTTGATGGCGTGCTTCAAAAGACCTCGCCTCGTCTTGAAACGGAACTTACACACGCCGCACTCTATATCTCCCGCGCTCTGGAATTATATTTACTTACTAAATATCGCCCGTATTCCGTTCGCGTGGAAATAAAACATAAGTAGCCTCTATGTTCTTCCAGATTATGTTCTACATCTATGCCTTTCATCGAGAACCGTTGAGTAATTTAGACTACAAATTCCAATAATTCATCCATCTAAACATTCGCATTTATTTAGTAAGGTAGGATTTATACAAATAATTTTATTTAAAGTAGGTAAATACTATTACTCCACATTTATTTTGTTACTTATCTATGTAATCAATACTAATATAATAAAGCGTAAACACTCTTTGTTACGTAGGATGTCAGCAAGCACAATATTCTTTAAGAACGTTTTTTAATAAAAAGTCTATACTAAGGACATTTTATACTATACTTTCACGACATTTAAATTAGGGGATGAATAAATTGGAAAAGAACTACAAGCTAATAGCAACAAAGGAAGATTGTCATGACAATGGTAATTATTAAACAATGGCAAAAGACTTTATTTTCATTTGTCCATTTAATTTTGAAATGTAATTAAATATTTTTATTATATAAATGCGAATGTTTAGATAAATGGATGTTTATTAGAAGATCCAGAACTGGATAAAATTAGGTATATATGTAGAATACTGTCTTATAGAATGTATAAGCCAGGGGTTGCCAACATTTATGCATCAAAGTGCCAGATGTATTAAAGAAATGTTTGATGCGATCTTTGACGAGCCAACAAATAATTTTGACTGCGATTATTAAGTCAATTCGGTGCATGTACTTTATAATTTTTTCGTAATGTTTTTATGGTTATTGGCGTGTCCAAAATATATCGTGTGCGAAGGCACGTATGCCTGAGGTTCGCTACCTCTGGAATAGGCTAATAATTGAGGTTATTTTATCTCTAAACACAGTACTTACGGGATCATGTTTCCCGAGGTGGTGTTGCCAGGCGTCCGTGTGCACGAACCCTTTGTAGCAAAGTTCGCATTTGTACACAGAATTCAGATAATTGCTTGATGTCTTCCGTTTCTCTACCTCTTGTATTTGCTGCTCCAACTGCAATCACCAATATTCTACGTTTACATTAACAGAAACATTTACGTAAAAGATTATCCTCACTCGCTCACTAAAGACTAGAAAAAATATAACATCTATGCTAATATAAAGAGGATAGATTTGTATTTTTGAACTTTAGTATGTATTTAAATAACTCAAAAACTACTGGATCGATTTCAAAAATTCTTTCAGCATTAAAAAGCTACGTTTTCATTGAGTAGCACAGTTATGTCTTTTTTACAATCATTTAATTCCACGTGGACGAAGCCACGACGAACAGCTAGTAATTTATATTTACTTTAAAAAATCATCAAAATAAATAAGTTACATTTACAGACAAAATCGAAGTATCAAAACAGAATTTTCATATTCAATATGTATTTAGTAATACATAGCTTTAGGCTATGAAACCGTCCGCGTGAACAATAAAAAAAAAGAGTTTATCAATTTCCCCTTGGGCAGGGGACTGGTGTCCAAACTAGGGTAATCCCTGTGTAATGGATCACCAGGCCCCCGCCCCACAGACCAGAGTGAATCTTACAAACAAAATAAAAAACAAACAGATATTTATTACTTAGTAAAAATGAACAAGAAATTAGAGCTATACGTATGTTAGGTGTTGATGTGTAATGTGTAATGTGTAAACAATAAAAACAAAAGTAAGAAACACAGGATATGATTTCTTCCTTGCAGGCTATCCTCTATTATATATAACATATAGCTGAGCAAAGGCCCTATCAGTTCTGCATTGCAACACATGGTTAGAATGTGTAATATATGTTTAGTGTTTGTTTTTTTTTATTTATTTTGGCAATTTGTTTTTGCCATCTGTTATTAGTTTTGATTATAAATAGTTAATGTCTTTTTTTTCTCGTTTGTATTTTGTGTTCAAGTGTATTTAATATGTTGCAATGTGTTTTTGAGCTTATTAAATGTTTATTATTATTATTATATCTATATCAAATTTCATCGAGATTAGTTTAGTCATTTAGGATAAAAACAAACATCCATCCAAACTTACGCTTTTGTAATATCAGTAAGATTTACCTTACTAAGAAGTGAAATTCAAAATATTTGTCTATCCGCAAATCCGTCATTCATTTATTTCGTCAATAAAAATAAAATTATTTACCGATAATGTTATTACTGTCGCATATTCCTCGATTTCCAATTCATTTTTACTATTCGTACATTTTCTTAATTTCTCTTCTGGCTTTGTATTTTTCTTCGGTCTCCCTCTTTTACGTTTTAACACACCTTGAAGAATGGATGAATCCTTTTCTTCAGTCTAAAGATAATTGACTACATGTTTAAAAATAAATAGTCAAAATGTTAACAGCATACATCTGTGTTAAATTCCATTTTTTTTTACAATAGAAACAAAAATATTAATTTTTCAAACAGCCAAAAGTGTAGAGTTTTCTGTATTATAAAGAAATGATATATTGGTGGCAGGAGTTTAAGAATTTGTCTTGTAATCTACAGGTCCTAGGTTTGAATTCATATGTGCATAATTTACCCGACATTCTTACGGTAAAAGAAAACATCGTAATGCACATGTTGGTGAGGTAATTCAACATGTGTGAAGTCAACCCACAGTGCAGGTTGATTATGGCCTCACAAACTTAGGGTAGGCTCCGAGCCCCAGTGTAATTCCAGTATAATGAACTGGTGTTGAAAATTTACCATTATTACCTCATTCAAAGATTCTCCAAGACTATTCTCAGATGTTTCAGTACATTCTTCATTATTTCTTTTTTTTCTCGCTTTCCTTTTAACTATTTTAACTTTCTTCTTTTGTTTATCACTTTTATGTATAGACAATGGTTCATTGTCATCACTAGACATAGATAAAAAATCATCAAAATTACTTTCCTCCTTTATACTGTTTATATTTAATTCTATATTATATTCCAGAATATTATCTGTTTGTTCAAATGGTTCATTTTTTATATTCTTCTTTGAGTCTTCATAATTTATGGAAAAGTCTTCTTGTATTTTTGTACTAGAGAATGTAATATTAGATGTCAAATGGAAATAAATTCTATCTATTTGTTTGACATCTTCAATTGATATCTGGAAATATAGAAAAAAAGAACAAATTATATGAATGAGTTTTAACTATCTGTGCTAATATTATAAAGAGGAAAGATTTATATTTTTGTACATATTGGAATAACTCAAAAAGTAATAAGCCATTTAGAAAAAAAATTTCACCATTAAAAAGCTGTAATTGCAGAGTAACATAAGCTATATTTTTAAATTTCATGTAAATGAAGTTGCAAGCAACAACTATTTAAGATAAATTCATTAAAATTTAACGGATATCAGATTGTTAGTAGTATTTATGAAGTAAAGTTTTTATTTCACTTTAGTATTTGGCAATAAGTTGCATAGTTAAAAATTGTTATTTAAAAAATATACCTTTCCAGATGTTTGAAGTATCCCGTAGAGAGCGGCCTGGCCTCTTAGACACCTCTCCCGGAAAGTATTGTACTTTTTGATCATAGCTGTACAGTCATAACAAGCAAATGGAGGCAGATCAGTCATCTTAAAGAGCTGAAAGAAATTTTAATTAAGGTTATAAATAAACTATTAGACGACATCCAGACATCTACGTTTTTAGTTTTATTTTGAATTCACGCTTCTAGACAATTTAGATTAACATTTCCGGTTGTTATTTATTTTCATTATTTATATTTACAGGTTAGTTGAATTTTTAATTAACTTACATTTATCCCTGTAACATTTTCAAAGTAAGTTCCTAGAGGAAAAGCCTGTAAATCGTGCATGCTCACATCCGTTACGAGGCATATTCTACACACTTTTGTGCATTCCATCGTAATTTATTCATCAAATATTTCTAAAACTAACTTATTTTCATATATTCGCGGCACACGAATAGGATAGAGTTAGAAAATTATAGAATTTCTGCTCATATTTAAAATCATTATGCATAGTTTTTACAAGTTTAGTTAACCATTTTAACTAATCATATTATTAAATAAAAAAATAACAAACGCGAGTTTCACTTTTTCATACTCATAAAATGCAACAGTAAATGAAAAAACTCTTTTAAATTTTTGAAGAATGTCTATTCGTACAAAAGACGCCAAGTGTCTTCCATTTTTGTTGATCTCTTGTTGAGGGAGGCAATAATGTA